CTCCCCTCTCTCTCCCCTCTCTCTCTCTCTCATCTCTCTCCCCCCTCCCTCCCTCTCTCTCCCCCTCTCTCTCTCTCTCTCTATCGCGGGTCCTGATCACGCCACCCTGCGGTTCCCTTATCCAGTGTCGTCGATCTCTTGCCCCCTCCCTCGAACTCCAAACCTAACAATGTACTTTTCCATCCTCTTCTCACATACGCATACATACTGCGTGTACGTATATGCACTAACACAGTGATCTAGAACCGGCCTAGTATACCTATTAGCATTTTTAATAATTTTTATTAAAAAATTGTATTGTTAATAATGTTGTATAACTATTCTAACCAATTTCGACAAATTTGAAGTTCATGAAAATAATTTTTTTGAACAACTTTTTTTTCAAAATTTAATTCTATTGCATACGGATTCGATTGCGCACAACCCGATTGCACACAGATTCAATCAGATGTAATAGCGATCGAAAAACGGGGAAAATATTTGTTACGTCCTACAGACGCCATTCTTTTCTTTCAAAAGAAAGCAGCTCTTTAGACTATATTCGTCCCCCTCGAATGAAGAAGACTAGATAGTCAGTTTATATCCCTAACAATCCACTCTTTACTACTCTGTCCTTTACAAACACCTTGTCCCAATGCTCCTGCACCTTCCAATATCCAGTAGCCTACTTCCTCTTCTTCACACATACGCACACACACACATACATACACACGCGCGCGCGCGCGCACGCACGTGTATATATATATATATAATATATATATTACTAATTATAAGTAATATTATATTACTTACTAAGCTGCGTGTATATATTTATAATAAATAAATTATAATTAATTTTTCCACATAATACATGAAAGGAATATACATAATCTATAATTAGCCTAAACAATGTATTATTACAGTATGCAAGCTACAGAAAAAACACAGAAAATATTTATTTAACACATTTTTTAAATATTTATTTAACTACGTTGATATAACTGCATATTATAATACTTAACTTGCTTATGACATTTAATGCTGTCCAAAAATCGGCATTACTTTACATAACGCAAAGGCATACGTTACGAATTGTATTTTAAAATGGCTCAGAATACAACTTTCTAGTGAAATTTAATATAACGCAAACTTAACGCAAATGCAACGTAAATTGACGATGCCATGCATTAAGACGCATTTACAAAATATGAAATCGTAAATCATACGTTACAAGCCATATAACGCATGCGTTAAAAAGTTTCAGAATAGCCCTGCAGGTTTTGGGCCGATGCCCTCTCTCAGGTTTCTCTCTAGTCTGCTTGATCCATAATGGAGACGGTGGAATTGTCAGAGGACATTTCACTGAGGACACAATTTACTGTCGACAATCTAGACATAGAAATATTGCCGCTTATTTACGAGATTATTCGCAGGTACATGATTTTATTTATTTTCATTCAGTCGAATCGTTAATTCCGATACAATCATATAACCTAAAACTGGAATCGGAATCAAAATTTTCTTAACATCACTTTTATAAAAGATATTTTTTCTGATTTTTTTTTTAGAACTCTTACTTAAGATTGGTGTTTTTTTTAATGTTGTTTTTTTATATGTTGCTGTCACGTTTTTATTTAAGTTATTATATATCACACGAATATAAATCTGCAAATCTGCTTACCATCTTATTTCCAAATATTCAAGCCTTTAAAGACAGATTTTGAGCAAATTTATTATCTGATGGCAGAAAGACATTTAATTTTCAGTATAATGTTGATTACATAGTTTATAATTCGATAATGTCGATAAATTGCCATCAGAAATAATGAAACCTGTTGACTTGCTATATAAGTAGATTGACATCAAAAATCAAGCAAGATTGTAGCTCTTTCTTGGTTTCTGTTGCCAGTCTCCGTTAGATTATTCCTATATGCACAGCCTACTCGATTTCTATCATCAATCTGTATCTTGATTCTATAATTCTTATTGATAATTTGGTATTGTTATGTTGTACTCTTTTACCATATATAGTGGATGCTTCCCAATTAATGTTTGCAACACTTGCAAGTATTATTTTATTCTTGTCATGAAATATTAAAACAAGGATGAAATAATATACTTGTATTATGAAGTATGGAGTATTATGAACATTAAGTGAAATGTATCCAATATCTGTACAACAATATAATGATTTAAGAATTGTAAGCAAATCATATATGTGAATATATCAAATACGATGAAAAAAGACATGATCGGTCAAAGTTGGATGTTTCAAATAATACATTATATATTCTTATATTAAATTAATTTATTCCATAATTTATGATTGCGAGCCAATAACTTTTGATTTCAACACAATCATTCTAAAACGCTAATAATTTCCCTTAAATTAGATTAGAAAAAAAGAAACACACGGAATGCAAGAGATCCAGATTCAACTCCCAGCTGAGGCAATATTTTTCACAAGTAAGTTTATTACAGATTTTTAAGATTAAATTTTGGAAATTTAGGGAGATTATTAATATTTCAGATTGATTGCGTTAAAAATCTGACAATCATATTAGCATACAATTATCATTTCTGAAATGAAAAATTGATTCATTTAAATGAATATATATATAATATGTAGTTCAACATCTTAACATTCAGACATAATGATGCTTCGTATTTAAAGTAATGTATTTAACATAAATCTTGTTTCCAATCTTATTGAAAGAAAGAAAGTAAAAAATTTATTGCAAAAAATATTACTTCAGCCAGGATTCGAACCTAGCAATCATATAATCTGGAATAAATTAATTTAAGAATATATAAAACATCCAACTTTTAACCAATCATGGCTTTCTTTATCCTATTTAATGAACAATATAGTGAACTGTTGTTAAAAGTTACAGAATCAGAGTATTGATGTATCTAACATGTCAACAATCTCTGTTGATAAATCCTGAGCTTAATATGCAAATACAGATTACAGTAGAATCTGATCGAATTTGCTGCCAATCTGTCAACAAATTGCTAACATTTTGAGTTAATATCTAAGTCAAGTACAATAATGAATTTTTAGGAATTATATCAAAATTCTGAAGAAATTTGTTCAAGTATTTCAAGAACGTTTTGTGCAATTGATAGAAACACTATTGGATTGTTAGTCAATGGATATGCAAATATTTATATTTTTGATATATTAAGATAAGTGCTGCTAGTTATAATTTTTAGCATTGAGAAAGATCCACATGATACTTCGCAAAAGGCAAAAGAGTCTCAAGATACCAGCCACAAAATCCTAGAGTTACAGAAGAAGTTAGACTCTGCGAGGTCGCAGGTAAAAGCTGCATCATTCTTCCATATAGATGTTCAGAAATATCTTGTCGTTTTTCATGCATATGACTTGTTTTTTTTTTTTCAGATTAAAAGATTACCAGGAATAGAATATAGTAAGGAAGAACAATTGCAAAAGCTCGAGACTTTGCGCAAACAATTGAGACTAAAGCGTGAACTTCTATTGAAATATCGTAATACATGCACATTTGAAATACCGAAAGTATAAACGCGCACGTACGCGTTTGCGAACATAAAGAAAAATAATTTCGAGGATGCCTCTAAAACTTCTTTTCCGGTACTTATTCAATAATGAAAAGTTGATTAACAGATTAGCAGAATCCAAACCAATAAGACAAACTGCACAATTTGTAGTATACATACTAATTAGAGCAGGTATGATTAATGGATCACACCGCCCTATCTCTAGTCCAAAAGACTTTATCAAACAGCTGAAAGATATTGCTGATCAATTAAAGCAACAATTAGAAGAAAAAAATAAATTTAAGAAATAATTTATGATAGATCATATATTTTATTACCAAACTTTATGGTTCTTGTATTTAGATTGCATACAATGAGAATCATTAAATTAATTTTTATAAAAGATAATAAAACATGTAAAATTTTGTATGTAATTAAACGAAAGTTTTATTTAACACATTTTATTTAACACATTTTATTTAACACATTTCTGATCACAATATTTTAGCAATATGTACAATTAATAAATAAGTGTTCAGTTGTATTCAGGAATGATGTCTGAATTTATGAAGGACATACCTTTTTTCTGCAGCATGTATGAATAATTATTAGGAAATAAATATTTAATACAATGGAAAATTTTCTTTTCATACTTAAAATACAGTATGATACATATCTGTTTAAAGTTCCAAAATATATTAAAAGATTGAATGACATAAATGAGATTATTATATATTCTTTTCATAAAATTATTATAGAAGATATATTATTACAATGTGCACATCGGCCATATTTCAAGTTTTATCTTCAAATTCTAAGAGTTGATAAAAGAAATTTGTATACTCTGTACAAGTGTAAATGCAGTGCATTCATATACACATGAAGACATTGTGTATTTCTTGATTTTATTTGTATATATTATAATATTGGCTTAAGATATGCGTATGCCTTTTACAAAAATAATGCAATTTATGCAATAAATACCGAGATTTTATATTTTGCCACGTTAAAAGAATATCTTTTTAATATGATTAAAATAGTTGAGACACGAAAAATTATATTGTAATAAATTTATATAGTATGTATTTTAATAAATTTACAAAGAATAGATTTTTTACACAATATAAAGTACGAGTTTTTATATCAAGAAAAAAAATTGTTTTAGAATATAATAATTTCATATCTCGTGGATCACATTTTTAGAAACTTATAGTGCATTCCGCATTATGCATAAAATGCATAATGCATCATGTTATTCATCGAAGAATAAAGAAAGATAAAATGATACTTCATATTCTTCATGCATAATTCGGAACACATTTTTATACGTAGCAGAAAGTTATAAGAACATTAATTATTTGTTCTTCATACACTGCTCTTACATTTTTGCAGGAGGATTCTGCTCGGTTAAAGGTTGAATATTGTTGATAGCATTATGAGATCGTCCTCTTCGACTTCTACCTTTTTTATTCTGATTTAATCCAGATTTCTGTGGTACATTTTCTTGTTTAGCTGTTTGTGCTTCATTCATCGAATCAGTTTCGGTCATTTCCAATACCTAAAAAAAGAAAAAAAATGATTATGTTTATTCATTATTTTTGGTATTCATTTTTGTTTCTCATTAAAATTAATGAAAATAATAAAAGTTTTTATATGGTTGAATTTAAAAGAATAATAAATTAAAAACAATGATTATTTTAATTTTATCACATTAAAAATATCGCATATACCTGCACGTTTGCATTCTGTCGATTTTGTGACGTTTTATTCGGCTTACTAATTCTAGATGCTTGTGTAGTTATATTATTTGAATGCGGTATAAGTTTTACTACATTTCCTACTGCTTTAGTACGACCTTCTCTAAACACCATTCTCTGTCCAGGTTTTATGTATTCGGGATGTTTGATAAATCTAAAGTGTACCAAGGCTTTGTCACCCGTTCTCAAACAATCTTGAGACATAGACAATATAGAAGCAGTTTGTCTTATACTGCCGCAATGTACTGTAATAATTTTTATAATAAAAAATTAATTTGTATGATAGAATATAATAATAATCATATAATCATTATAACAATAATAATCATTGTAATAATTACCCATTGCTTGATAACGGGAGCTGATTGTTGTAGGATGATGTAGCACCAAAATTTCACCTTCAAATTCCCAACAGGCTTGTGGATTAAGTGCAGGTGCGACCATTACCATACCTTTGCGAATGTGTGACCGTTTAATCTTTTTTAGTGCAAAACTAGCTGTTTGTCCACCTCTCACTTCGCGAACAGGCATCCTCTTTCGATGGATACTTTTTACGGTTATAGGTGTAAAACGACCCAGTGGATCAGGTCCTAATAGCAATGTATCATTTAATTTTATGATACCTTTTAAAGTTGTACCAGACACTACTGTACCAACTCCCTATAATTTTTAATTTATTATCATTTTTGTGCATTAGAGAAAAAAAGTTTATATAATATTATATACGTACTGGTACAGAATATGTATCATCTATTTGAAACTCAGCAGGTTCATCATCATGACTAGTAATTCTCGCAGTCAATAAATTGAGAAACATCTTAAGAAAATTTAAATTTTCGCCGGACACATTGGATACTTGAAATATTGGACATAACCTGCATGAAATTTATTGTAATATTTTATGGATATTTTAGTATACGAAGTTTATTATTTACAGTTTATTATTTTTTTTTTTTTAATAAAATTCTTGATATATTGAACTAACCGTTCTGAGACAAAATTAGTAGCGCTAACTACCACATCATCAGGCGTCTTCACTGTAACCGGGACTTTCCTGCAACCAGGAGATTTCAAAATCTTTATTAACAGTTTCAAATTTTCTTGTAGAACATTCGGCGGGCACATATCGATTTTCGTCACGACAACGAATACCGGTACAGATAACGCTAAAGCAAGTCCTAAATGTTCTTTGGTCATCCCTACAATGCCGGCATTTGCTCCGATCATTAACATACCTGGAATAATATTTGTATAAAAATCATAGGATTCTTATAAATTGTATAATTGCAAATGATCAAATAAAAGAAATATATTCGTTAAATATTTTCTTTTCCGGATCTTATATAATATTAATAATAATATAGTTTTACCGAAATCTGGAGCATGTCCCGTCATTCCAAAAACAGTCGTCTTTAAATATCTCTCGTGACCAGCAAGATCAATGAATGTAATTACTTTAGAGGATTTTTCACAAATCTTCACCCAATCCAACGAACCATGTTCAGGCTTATTAACTACGTTACCTACGAATATATAATGATACTACAATAAAAGAATAATCACATAAAATATTACAGAATCAAGACTCACCAACACTATCAAATCCAAGTATGTCATTTCCAACAGAGCTAGTACGTCCTGTTTCAGCTTCATGCTTGTGGCGGAATAATTTTTGACGCGCTAATCCTCGTCCATTGTCAAGTTCACCATGAGTCAGAACACCTAATAAAGTTGATTTACCAGCATCCACATTACCGACCACAGCAACTCTATAAATAGTTACTCGAAGCTATAAATTATAAACTGTCGAGCGGCGATCCAAAAATTACATTATTAAATAAAAACCTGATCTCTAAGAAATCTTGTCGATCTAAACGTCTTCTCACTAGATACTGTCCTGTTAGACCATGATCTGCTTTATTCTGACGTAGAAGCACACAATCTGCTTCTAATGTTGCAGCAAGAGACTGTAAAGTGGCAACTGATGCTTCATATTCATCCTCTTTTAATCCATCCTCAGATCCATCTAAGTATCACATAGATAAGTTTTATATATATATATA